AGATTATGGCACTAATAAAGTGCCAGGAATTTGACCGTATTCTTGACCTAAATCCGTTGAGGATATTTGACACTTCCGTTGAGTTATACATCAATATATGATTATATATGATTATATACAACAATGGACCCAGGCTGTTTCTGTTGAAAGAGGCCAACCATGATTCAAATTCGAGGTTCAAAAATGATGGGAACCGCGAAAAGGACCCAAAATCTGCTCCATTCCCTAAGATTCACTTCCAATCAGCTCTGCAATGAGGTTCTCGAACTTTGGCCCACATCATTCCGAGAAAACTGTGCGTTTACTTTCGAAATCAACGAACCAAAAATGGTTAGGAACATTTAGGAACCATGTTTTCCTATTTCTCCTTCCATCAGGGAAACCATATCCTCCCCATATCCTCTATGTTTTGTCTTCCATCACAATTTCCACCGGGTAACACTGCTGGCTTCATCCACCATACTATCATACTCCCTTCCCCCTTGTACATATATCATCATATATCTATACATTTTACACGGGGAGCAAGCCTCGTCTCATATATGGAATCTTCAGATTCATGAATCTTCCCAATTTGGACTTCTTCATTGTGGCTATGCCATAGCTATCGAGATGGGGCCCATCGGCCAAGAATCGACTGCGGTGCGCCACCAGGTGTGGGTCATTTGGATCCAGAAACCTGGTGTTGCAGGATGATCTGGTTAGTCAATGTTCAATTGTTCCCTCCTGTAAACTAACACTTCGATGTGGAAAACAACCAGGACAACCCGGACGGACAACCACCAGCATAAAAAGACGATTTTCCGAAGGAAACCATTGCTTTTCCACATCTTTTCCTATGTCTACCCGACGGTATCATGTTATCCATGTCCATAGTGGTGACCGAACGTCCTCTTTTCTGTGGCTGGTTCCATACCATTTTGGGGATCATCTGTCAGCATCCCTGGAACCACTGACCAAAAACGACTGATTTCACATGATTTCACCGTTTTTGTTTTGGAAATCTTCGCGCACATGCAAAAACCCACCATTTCAGCACTACTAGTTGATGTTCAAACCCTGAGAAACTAGCAAGTAATAGCCAAACTTACGCCCTGCCTTCCAAACCAGGAAAGCCCACAAATCTGCGGGATAGTACCATCTAAGTTTATGGAAAAACGAATCAATGAGATGAAATAAGTAGACAAAAAATGGTATGCGGTATGCAGCATTTATATGCATTTATTCCATCATTCATTCCATCATTACAAGTTTGTGGAAACCCTCTGATAATCAAACATTGCGTGCTAAAAAAGATCCACCAATTTAGTTTGCAGTTATCTGGTTAGATGATGTTCCCATTAAAAGTTGGATTTGCTTAAGGAACCCTCCAACAATCATAAAACATGTTCCCTTATGTAATCGATTCCCCAAGTAATGGATGTTCCAATTGAAAAAAAAACATAGTAAATCCAGTAAATTTACGGCAGAAACCCTACGTCTTAAGGAAAAAACACACCCATTTCTGTATTAAGTCGTTATTTTTTATGAGAGAAATCGCGTCTGTTGGTTGAATATGGTGAAATTGATGGGAGTTTTCCCTACCGATTTCCCCAGCTCTCAACCTCCATAGTTAATCATAATTATAGCGCTTAAATTGTCTTAAATTTCTTCCTAAATTTCATCCCATTAGTGAACCAAAAACCTCCATTGACCCTGGATCTTCCCCATCCCCATCCCATGGTGCCATGGATCCGCCAAGGCACGGATCTTGGTTGGGCTCGTCACGTCCCACACCCGCCGGGCGTTCCCGCACCTCATCCGCCGGCAGCAGAATGGCCTGGCGCGCACTCGAAGTCTTCGGTTTTTCCAACGGGGAAAATCCGATCATTATAAGTTATACATATAAGGATGAAATCAAATTATATAAATCATGAAGCATCGGATAATGATAATCAATCATTGATAAGCCACGTGTTATAAATTGAGACAAACATCGATCTTTTCTAGAATATAATTGTACTAATTATCCCATGGATGATAATTGGGATCAATTGTCAGAACATCCCATTAAATAATCAATCATTGGGATGTTCTTTTTTTAAAATAGGCGGTTGACTTTGATATTGATGCTTATGTGTGTTCCAGTTTTTGGGGATAGAGAATGTTTGAGAGTTTTTGGCGAGAAATGGATGAAACTGGCCCATGAAAATAGATGATTTTGCTATTCAAGAGGGTGATTTACTCCATTATATTTGGTATCTGGGTTTCAGATTTTTCGCGTTCATTGGGGATCACAACAACGTCGGGATTGGTTTCTGATCATTGACTTCTCTAAGATCTGATCAAGAACATTTCGGAGGGGTCTACACTCTGGTAAACTAACATAGCTAGTGAAAATTGCCATTTGTAGTGAGTTTTCCCATAAATGGTGATTTTCTATAGTTATGTTAGTTTACCAGAGGGTAACCTTCGTTGGAATGGTCTTGTTGGGAAAGTTTGAAGGAACTATTGGCCACTGGCCACACCAAATGTAGAGGTGTCTGGGAAAAAAAGAACGTCTCTAGGACCTGAGAATCTTGGTAGATGGGTTTCTTGGAAGACTGAGGAAATGGTCACTTTTTGCCAAGTATGTTATGATGAATCACATATATATATATATATAATTATCAAATATATATTAAAATTCAATGAAATTGACCAAACAATAATGTGACCATTTACCAAGATTTAGGGGCATCGGCCCATCAAAACAGTTGAGGATATTCATGGTATATTGACCAGGAATATGATTATCCTTGATTATCCAATGGATTAACTTATAACAACCCCAAATAGATCCGAATAGTAAACAAACTTTGCTTTTTTAAAGGATATGAACCTCTCTGCATTTTTGGGGATGAACATCCATTTCTGAAGCTAGTGTTATACTTTTTTATATCTATTGTATCCTATTTACACCATATTCTGCGATGATTGAATCCAAAAAAAGGCCTCCGGTGTCATCAAACATGGCAACAAAATCATCCGTTGAACTCCGAGCAACTTTCCCACTAAGAACTTCCATTAAGATGAGAATTTCCCGCTACCAGTCGCCAGGGCCTCCAAATCAATGACGCCCCTGACCTGGCATTGCATTTCATCACTGCACTTGTGTTCCATTTCATGGTTATTTTTAATGGGGTTATAAGTCCTATAACTAACGGCTATATAGTCTACACACACATATATATACATATATCATGGTCCCTAAAACATATAATATTTGGTATGGTATGATAATTCCTGTTAGACTAAGGTTGTATGAATGTTGTATATCATCATGAAAAGCTCCCATTTATATGAGTGTATATATATATATATATATCATTATATATGTATATAGCTGTGAAGGGACACAACTGTGGGGATGATGATAGACTAATTTTTGAACATAAAAATGAGAACACCAACCAGTTCTGCATCACTGGGATGAACCAAGGGTCAAATTACAGTGTCTATAATAGAAAATCAAAGAATTACGACAGGGGTCGCGATTTGGACACCCGCATTTTAGAATTGTTACCCTCTGGTAATTTAACATAGCTAGTATAGAAAATTGCAATTGTTAATAGGTAAAAAAACATCTATTTCTATGGGTCATTTTCCATAGCCATGTTAGTTTACCAGAGGGTACTCTGTTTTTTTCCACGGTTTTCCTACATGAAGCTTTCCCTGAAACCACTTCTGCTGGTAGTGAAACTAGGATCCCACCCCCTAGATGATCAATGGCCATGACTCAGGAAGCTAAAATTGCAGGTACCTACCATGTATACCATGTAAGGGCCAAATTTCAGGGGATCTATGCCCCCAAAGTATGGCTGGACATCTGGTACAGTTATACACAGTTATTCCATTTTAGGATCCTGGAATTCGAATTGACATATTCCCACTGGAAAGCACATCTCTTTGACTCTCTGCATCGGTCCGGCGCGTTGGGTCTCACGACCAAAGTCGCCCCCAAAAAAGGGTTGACAATATTACTCGGCGCTTCACAGTGGGTCAGTCGTGGTTAGTTCATGTTAGTTCACCAGTGACCGAAAAAAAACTCAAGAATTCTTCACAATTATGGCTAGCTATAGCATGCTATAGTTTGTTTATCCCAGTGACTGGAGGTCGAGGCATCGACGTCGAGGAGCTGGATTCTTTTTTGGTCTCAACCACCGGTGAAGGACCACAGGTTGGACCACTATGCGGGTTGCCTAGATTCAATGACTTCGCATTGTGGTTTTTGGCAAACCCGCTAAATACTAGACACGATCCCATAGCAAACATGAGCACGGCGGGGCCTTTACCCAGCAGGAGATACTCCATGTGCCATGCGCCAGGGAAATTGAACATCACGCAGAACAGTAAGTGTATAGCAACCCCCAAAAAATAGAAAAGAAGTGACACCTGAAAATATGAGGCGGTTATGTAAATCTTATATGATCTATATATAACATCCTGGAAACACTGCTCTATGTTTTTTGGGGGTTACTATATTCAACTGAGCCAGGAAACAGTTTGAACCACCAGCCCATTCCGAATTGTACTGGTTGGTCAATGGTCATCCCCAGTATGGATCTAGGGGCCAGAGGCTAGCAGCGCAGCCACCCAACAAATGGGGAAGCCAAAAGCGCTTTGAATACACTGGCTCAACTGATTATGTAAATGGATATAGATCGAAAAAAACAAAGAACCAGCAACTCCACTACAGAATTTGCTTTGAGCCTACACTCTTGCGCACACCAATTATCTTTTTTGAAAACAAACTTTCACATCTTGGCATACATGCTAACCTTACTGGCCAAACCATTTTCCAATGACAAAGATCTGCCGATGAACAATATTCCGTGCAGCTACATTGGAATGGACAATTCCCTGCTTCATACCACTAAATGCAATGGTTTTTCGCCCAAAAATACCTCCTAAACATAAACCCTAGTAGTTCAACATAGCTATGGAAAATCACATATTTATAGATAGTTCACCTGTTCACCTGTTCACCTCTTTAACATCTTTAAAATTGCCATTTTCGCTATGTGAAATTACTGCAGTGCATCTACTCGTCCTGGTTTCAACGCCATCATTCGATGCCAATCAGAAGCGAATGATGGGGATCATCGCAGTCAATGGGAGATCTCCTGAATTGTGGGGATATTCCCTGAAATTAACCTGAAACATAGGCCAAAAATATATGGAATCGGTACCTCCAATGTTTATCGCTTCCTGAGTCATGGCCATTGATCTAGCTACTCTTGTTTTTTCCTCTCTCGAACATGTACGGAGATGTAAAGGCATTCTTGAAAACGATCCTAACATGTGGTCAATTATACATTCATATCAATTTCAGATCCATAGTCAAACCACCAACCGGCACTCCAATCCCGTCGACCAGCTACAGGGGGTTGGTCAAACACCTGAGCAAAAAAAACATACTGAATCATTTACAGTGAAAAAAACATGATCAACTTAAAGATTTCCGACAATCTTTGTTCATGTTGTTTCCCACAATTCTCAAACAACCACCCTTTCCTAAATCCACCGGTTTCTCATCATGGTCCTTTTCAGAATTGCCATCAGTCGGGGTACCTCAAACACACCCATATCCATGATTCATTGGCGATATCCTTATTTGATGATTGACATATGCACCAAGTGATTTAAAATGGTTTGGTTGACCTCCCTTTTTACTGGTGAAATTATTTTTCATATTATCATATTGTGATTTGAGGTTTGAATCCCTATCAAATACTTTATAAACCATGTTCTAACCTAAGTTATCCCCATCAAATATGTCATAAGCCATGTTTTAACCTAAGTTATCCCCATCAAATATGTCATAAACCATCTCAACCACCATGTAGAACATGGAAAAACATTGTAAAACATCAGAGTCATAAGTCCTAAGTTCACCTCCATGTTTCGGCAAACATGTCCCCCATGTTTCGGCCTCCGGGTGTTCCCCGGTCACAACGCCAGGGTCTTTGACCGCGGCTGACTCGACCCACGGCTGGAGCGAAGACTGGATCTACGGGAGGACAGACTGCGCCTGGAGCTCGACCGTCTCGACCTTCGAGGTGGTGCCGAGATGGGACTTCATGGGAATATCATAGGGATGGAGATAGACGGGGATATAGTTATGTGTATATATATATATAGTTATATATATTTATATAGTTACAATAACTAACCAGTACTAACCGGTTTGTCAAAAAACGGCTCAATGTAAAATCCCCCGAACTAAATGGAAGTGTATAGCTGGGGAAAGCATCAAACTAAATAGGGATTTCTAGCATGCCAAGTTTGATTGTCCTCTATTTGTACCTTACTATCGGCGTTGGCCTCTTTATTTGGGCCTTTCTGTTTTCTGGTGCTTGGACCCAGGAACTATTTGCAGATTTCCAGGAACTATTTGCAGAGTTCCAGGAACTATTTGAAAAAACATGCGTTATATTGAGGGGAGTTAGCGAGGGAAATATGATGATGAGTTAGCACAGGCTAGCTAAAGGGAAGACAGCAACACAACACTTAAATGCCTTAAGTGCTGAGTCCAACTGATTTCAGCTTACCAGTGCGTCCCTATTGTGGGTATATGGAAATGACAGTACTCATGAGTTATGGTATGGGATATGTGCATCCTCATGAGTTATGGTATGGGATATGTGCATCCATAACATGCCAACATGTTGCCTTGCTAAACTTTGGAATCTCGCGTGTGGAAGCCAGCACATCGGGCATAAAAATACCTGTTTGATTTGATAAATCAACCGGCCAATCATATCAAGAGCCATGTCAAATATACCGACCCACCCCCCTGACCCCGCACAGGGCAAAAAACTCTGACCGCGTATTTTTTTTCATGCCTGCGCACCAATCCTTTTCTTGCTCACGAATTAAAGCCCACGCACCACCATGTTAAAACAAAATTATAAGCATGTCCAAACCAATAGCTCCTCTCTCCTCTCTCCTCTCCCCTGTCTCCTCTCTCTCTCTCTCCTCTCTCCTCTCTCCTCTCTCCTCGTAGCCTTCTTGTCACCTGTCCGCAACCTCCTCGTAGCCTTCCCTGTACTTCCCGTAGCTTCCCCGTATACCTTCCGTACCATAAACCGTATGCCTCCCGTAGCCTTCCCATATACCTCCCCTATAGCTTTCCCTTATACTTCCCGTAGCCTTTCCGTATAGATTCCGTACCCTGCTCGTATCTCCTGTCTCCTCTCTCCTCTCTCCTCTCTCCTCTCTCATCTCTCCTCTCTCCTCTCTCCTCTTCTCTCCTGTCTCCTCTCTCCTCTCTCCTCGTAGCCTTCTTGTCACCTGTCCGCAACCTCCTCGTAACCTTCCCTGTACTTCCCGTAGCTTCCCCGTATGCCTCCCGTAGCCTTCCCCTATACCTTCCGTACCCTAAACCGTATACCTCACGTACCCTTCCCGTAACCTTGCCTGTAGCCTCCCCCTATACCTCCCGTAGCTTTCCCGTATATCTCCCGTAGCCTCCCTTAGCCTTCCAGTATACCTTCTGTAGCCCTCCCAACCAAAACAAAAGTGGCAGGAAATAAGCATTCTTCCCAAACTGGTGCAACGGCAAAAAGGGAACGAGGCACCCAGTCGCATTCACAGAGGACTGCTCTTCCATTGCCTCGGCTTCATGGATGCCCTCCAATTTGGGCAGGGCCGGTGGGACGGGAAACCAGTCCAGCTCGTCCCACACCTCGACCCAAAGCTCCGGCTCATCAAAGAATTCCGAAGCCGAAGGTGCCTGCCATCGTCTCAAGGCGTCTCCGTGACAATGCTCCTCTTGCTCTGGCACCTCGTATTGCCACATAGACCAGAGTCTTGCGACATCCTCCTGCGTAACCCTGAATCCAAAAACTCTCTGGCAAGCTTCTGCGAGCATCCCTCCAAGAAAGCTCAGTTTGCATCCCATGGCAAATGACTGGAGCTTGGCAGTCCACATGTCCTCTGCCCAAGACATTTTTGCAACCCGCACATAAAGTTCTTCAGAAGCTCTGGTGAGGGCCACATACCGCCTCCCCAGCTCCAACTGGTGGCCTGCAGGAGTTGCATCATTTGGCCGACGTGGCTGGCAAGCCACAAAATGCACCACTTCGACTGTGTGCCCCACTGCAGATTCAGGTGTGAGAAAGCGAATATTGGCAACGTTGCAGTTTCCGACGATGGCATAGCCGGCTTTGGCCAAGTTGCTGATGTGGAAGGTTTTGGGTGCTTTCGAAAGTTTCGAGGAAAGTTGCGGGGAGGCCGCAGGAAGGTTACGTACGGGAAGGCTACAGGAGTTTACGGAGAAGGTTAGGGGCGGGAGGTTACGGGGAAAGCTGTGGAAGTCTACGGAACGAAAACGCAACAGGTTGTAGGAAGGGGTGGTTAGGTTCCAGAGGCAGATTTCGGATTCAAACCTTTCTTCACAAAAAAGGTCGGATTGCATGAGCCTCCATAACTTTTCGCAATCCAAAGCCGCTAATTATAGCTATCAGCTCTTGCTGGCCTGCTGTGGAAAGGGGAGCAAGAAAGCGAAAGGGAAGGAGAGGAGAGGAGAGGAGGGAGAGGAGAGGAGAGGAGAGAACAGAAGAGGTGAGCAGAGAGGAGAGAGGAGAGAGGAGAGTGGAGAGAGGAGAGAGGAGAGAGGAGAGAAGAGAGCAGAGAGGAGAGAGGAGAGAGGAGAGGAGCAGAGAGAAGAGAGGAGAGGAGAGAAGAGAGGAGAGGAGAGGAGAGAGGAGAGAGGAGAGCCGAGAGAGGAGAGGAGATGCTATGGGGAGGCTATAGGCAACGTTTCGGCAAAATTACGGCGGTATGCAGGAAGGCTACGGGAAGTACAGGGAAGGGTACGGGAATTCTACGGGAAGGGTACGGAGAGGTTACGGACAAGAGTTTGAATGTGGAGTAAAGTTTCGAGGAAGGTTGCGGGAAGACCGCAGGAAGGTTACATAAGGGAAGGCTACAGGAGTTCGTTCACGGGGAAGGTTAGGGGCATGTTACGGGGAATGCTGAGGAAGTCTACGGGACGAAATCGCAGCAGGTTACAGGAAGGGGTTATGGTGAAGTGGTTACATTCCAGGGGCACATTTCGGATTCAAACCTTTCCTGACGAAAAAGGTTGGAATACATGAGCCTCCATAACCTTCTCGCCATCCAGAGCCTCTAATTGTAGCTATCAGCTCTTGCTGGCCTGCTGCGGAAAGGGGAGAAAGGGAGCGAGAGAAGAGGAGAGGAGAGGAGAGGAGAAGAGGAGAGGAGAAGAGGAGAGGAGAAGAGGAGAGGAGAAGAGGAGAGGAGAAGAGGAGAGGAGAAGAGGAGAAGAGGAGAGGAGAAGAGGAGAGGAGAGGAGGAGAGGAGGAGAGGAGAAGAGGAGAAGAGGAGAAGAGGAGAAGAGGAGAAGAGGAGAGGAGAGGAGAAGACACGTAAGAGGAGAGGAGAAGAGAGGAGTAGAGAGGAGAAGAGAGGAAAAGAGAGGAGAAGAGAGGAGAAGAGAGGAGAAGAGAGGAGAAGAGGAGAAGAGGAGAAGAGGAGAAGAGGAGAAGAGGAGAGGACAGACATTTTGTGCATATAAAAACATAAAGCATGGTATTTGCAAAAATCAAAAACAATACATTTTCAAGTCTTCTTCTTGGCAAACAATTCTTTTTTTAGGGTTAGGAAAATTATTTGTGCATGGTCAGGAAAAAACTTCTTCGAGATCCAGAACAATGCTCTGCAGGATCAAAGCAAACTCTGTGCGGGGTCAGAAACGTGTCTCCAAACATACCAGAACCAAAAAGATATGGTTCAATGAGCCAACGAATAAAAAAACAGCACCAGCTGGTTTTGGTGTATCATTCAGCGGAAAAGATGCAAAATGCAATAAAATCATTTCCAGCCTTACTGAGCCATGGAAACCAATCAGGCCAAAAAAGAAAAAACAATTCACCCCCGGGTCGCCCAGAAGAAAACGCGGTGAATCAAAGTTCGCAGGAGCAAAAGCCACAGCGCACCCAGCCCAAGCCAACGCGTTGGACAAACTTCACCAGCACCAGCACCACCACCAGCACCACCAGCACCACCACCACCACCAGCAGTTCCAGAAAGGAAAGCACGCCCCAAAGTGTAGGCCCAAGCGCAAAAAACCACCACCCGTGCCAAAAAGCCAAGCAAACCCCAATCTGAGACCCAAAACAGTTAGCGTTCCGTGTCCTGAGGAATGTAGCTAGTTTTGCGGTATGTCGACTGCAACTGAATGTACTGTATATAATTTGTTTTCAGTTTATTGTCATGAGCCTTGTCATGAATCAAGTCAACTCAAGTCATGTCACGTCATGTCATGTCACGTCATGTCATGTCCATCATTATATATATGGTTGTTTGTTTTGGTTGGCTGTGTGCATGCCAAAGGTTCCAAAGATCATGATACCCTATCGTATCCTATCTCACAATCCGAGGCAGCAGCATACCAAAAGGGCGGCCATGCAAATGGTGAACTTGATTGAAGGCTGTGGTGGTGCTGGCAAAGGAACCTAATATGTCCTCCAGCCACTCTCGTATCACAAATTGCGTCATTCGTCATGTCCGTGAGACTTTTGACAGTTTACTGTTTGCCTCTGTTAAAAGCAACTCCGCGGCGCGAAGCTGAACTATGTTGAACTCAGTAAATGTCAGTACTCAATATAGTTCACATGATCAGAGGTTCCATAGTTGAGATGCCAAGGGTTCACACATCGCAAAAAATGAGCCAACATTGAATGAAAATTTTCGGGTGAGCCCAACATGTGAACAGTAGCATCAGGGTCAGCGTGAGTGACCATGTCGTATTGTAAAAAGGAAAAGCAGAAATCAGAATGGTCAAGACTCCACTGTTTCTCTGGTTAGCAAAATGAGCGACAAACTGGCGACCTTCCCAAGACACGCAATGATCTAACTGCGGCGGAGCATACAAGGTCTCAAAACCAAAGCGCGGCATACCTGCTGATAGCTTGCAAGGACCTGACTGTGATTACCCATCATCACCTGGATGCGATTGTCTGTTGGACGAGTTTTTTTTTCGCAGGGCCTTTCCTGACAAGGACACCATATCTTGTAGTTTGTGAGATTCCACGTAGAGAGGCCACAACAATCACCCGATTCTGGCTGTAAGATGCTGTAAGTTCGAGGCAGCCCCTGAAATCGAAAATCTTGTTTTTGCAACCTAAGACTTCGGTATCTGGTACCTCGTCGGACCATAGCCGCCAGAACTTTCTCGGTGACAGGTTTATTTTCCGGACTTTGGGGTTTCGGATTGCCGAGAAGGGTGTCGTCGCCCTTTCGGCGACAATTTTTTTGGAGTTTCTATTCGCCATGAATGGCAAAATTCCAGGAACTATTTTTAAAAATCCAGGAACTATTTTTAAAATCCCAGGAACTATTTGTAAAATCTCATGGAACTATTTGTAGATCATCTTAGCGGACCCCAGCCCAAGAAAGGATATCTGCAAACATTCCACCGTCGCTAGAGCAAACACACTTTGTCAAGTACTGCCAGGACAAGTTCGGGTCGACCGTTTGACTAGAAAACCCAACTTTCGGACACCGAACCGGAAATCATGAACCTTTTGCAGACTGAGGGATTTTGGACATTCAATTTGTTTCTTTGGTCGTTTCTCAGCAGATATTGATTGCATAATCTACTAAAAATACCAAAAAAAGGTAGACTGACCGGACCACTGACCAACAGACAAACCTGACAGAAGGCCGATTGGGTTTGAAGATCATTTTTTTGATTTGTGTTGAGTTCACACGCAGGTTCAGCAAAAATTGTACATGAGTAATAGGTCCGCATATCATATCCTGGATCTCGCTTTTTCTGGGCTAAGCTGGGTTAGTTCTTGGTTTTGATTTCTGATTATGGATTTAGAAACAGTTGGGAAGGCAGCAAAGATTAACAATAGATCGACACCGTTCCAAACCGTTCTGAGCTGTTTATTCTTTTTGTACTTTACAGGGTTAATAAATAGATCGGAACCGTTCCGAACCGTTCTGATCTATTAATAACTCTGTGTAGTTTACGGGTTTTATAATATATCGGAATCGTTCCGAACCGTTCTGATCTATTTCTACGTACTGACAGGGTTTTTAAATAGTTCGGAACCGTTCCGAACCGTTCTGATCTATATTTATACGTTGCATTTTATGAATAGTTCGGCACCATTCCGAACCGTTCTGATCTATTTATACGAAAAAAAGCAAAATATATAGATCCAATTAGTTCCAAATAGTTCCGAGTTTAGAAATAGTTCGGAACCGTTCCGAACCGTTCTGATCTAATTATTTATAAAAACGGATGTAAAAATAGTTCGGAACCGTTCCGAACCGTTCCGATCTATTTATAAAAACGGATGTAAAAATAGATCGGAGCCGTTCCCAACCGTTCTGATCTATCTGCAAGACTGTCTACATAAAGAATTTATAGATAGATCGGAACCGTTCCAAACCGTTCTGATCTATTTATAAACTTGGATGGATAAATAAATCACAACCGTTCCAAGACGTTCTGATATATTTACCAACTTGGGTGTGTAACTACATACAGGATTTTAGAGATAGATTGGAACCGTTCCAAACCATCCTAATCCATATAGTTATCAAGTATGTATGTTCTACTTCTGAACTTCCAGAAGTTACTTGGTCATTAGCCATAGCTACATTTTCAACTCCCTTCAATTCAGCTCATACACGTGTAAGCAAATTCAACCGACTTGTGGTTTCTGAATTTCGTCTTTTCTGAAAATTTGGGTTAGTGTAATGCACAAACACAGTAAAGCACATCGAACCGAATCGTATGTTTGCACGAATCATCAAGTCATTTCGTGGCATGTACTGTATCTGTAGCAGAGGCATGTATACTGCATGAATGCTCTATGGACGGAAAACTTCATGTAAAAAATATCTTCAAAATATGTGCAAAACTAAAATGAACTAACCAGTGTTTCTGGTGAGTATTGGAATCATATTCAATAATAAACCACCAAAAGTCGGGGTAGCTTAAAACACTGGCCCAAAACCCATAAGCGTACTATTATTGTAGACAAATGGTTTGGTGACTGCTTTGGCCTCACTATGTTTTTCTTGTTCAAAAATAGGCCCAGGAGTTTGGAAACAAAAAAACGCCAGTATCAGTATAATGCAGTAAATAGCTTCTGGGATTCTATAAATAGTTTCTGGGATTCTGTAAATAGTTCCTAGGATTCTACAAATAGATCCTGGGTAGCTATGGCCCCCAACACAGAAAGAGGCCAAAGCAGTAAGTAATTTATACCCAATAAAAAACATAGTACGTCTCCAAACATCCATTTCATTGGGTTAATCATAATTAATTTGTGGGAGCCCATGTTTTTCCCGTCCACACAAACCCTTCAACCATCTCAAGTAAACCTAAGACACTAGGTGTTTGGTTCCGAAAACAGTGCTACAGAAAACAATAGCAAACATACTAATCGTCCCTCCAATTCAGTAATCATTCAAAAATCTATGCCAACTCAACTCCTCAAAAAAACACACACACACACAAAACAAATACTATACAGATTTGTCTGAACACATGTATCCTATATGGATTCTTTTTATCTATCATGTTTCACCAGTGGAGTCGCGAAGACGTCGAAGGCCGTCGAAGACGCCGTTGGTCATTCAGCTTCCTGAGATTCGCTTCCGTGAGAGCTACACCTTCGATGCCTGGGCCCATGGTATCCAGCAGATGGTCGAATTCCAGTTGCACCATGGCAGTTACAGAATGAAGACCCAGCAGGTTGAAGGAGACCTGCAAGGGCGGGGATCGAGGCAAAATGATGATGCCGTCACTTACCCTCTGGTAATTTAACACTTTGCCATAGAAAATCTCCATTTTTAGTTATGTAAATTATCGTTAAGTGGCGGTGTGTTGTCAATGCTGGACTCACTCAATGTCAAACATTGACCCATCAAATCACCATTTTTTAGGGCTCACCCCCGGAAAACTAACGCATGGAAGCCATGGGGACCTTCACAGATCCCATCCAAACTTCACCTGTTTAAAATCCAATGAAATTCCCGTTCAATTCAATTCAACGCAACAAAAAGTCATGATTTAACCCCATTAAAAATTAAACATCATTCAATCCCCATCTAAAATCCCATGAGTAGTACAGACTTAGGGCCACCACTTTTCCATACTGTTCCCGGTGCCTGGTGGGACACGGGGGACACTTCACTCGCCAACTCCACAGCTTGGCTGTTGACGATGTGCTGTAGCTGGTCGCAGAAGGCGAAACGACTTTGGTCGCAGGAGAGGTCCAAAATATTTTCAGGGCGGAGGAATCCTGAGACGGAACATGTTGAAAAAACCTTGGGCAATTGAAGTTTTTGTTCACCAAAAATATACGGAGATTTAACATGATTCTTGTTCAACAATGAGTGTGATCCAGAATGATGTAGTTTCTAGCCCCGCCCCATCAACCAACAGTATTTTTCAGGGATAATTGGGATCATAATCTTATCGTTTTGGGCTGTGCATCAACAAATGCCTTTTTAGGCAACAATCATTTGGGATCAAAACATGCAGTAACCAATGGATCCAACCAGAAGCAACGCTGAGGTATGATATCCAAATTTACGATCACTAAAATATAATGATATAATTTAATGACTACCTCCTAAAGGGTCTCCAGAGTGGTCCCCCACCTACATTAATAAAAGCATTAATCCAAGGTACCTCTATTAATTTGCTCGGCGGCACTTCTCCCCACCTAGATGTAATAAATGGTTCTCTTCCCACCATCTAAATTAATTTCAGGCAAATTATTCAAGAGTGGTGGAACTACCACTTTTTTGGGGGTTTAGGGGGCCCCAAATCATTTCTTCTAATTATATAATTAATTGGGGTGTGGAACAAAGAAACATGCAATTTATTTCTCATATCGCCAGCCATTGCTTTCCTTCCAACCATTGTTTTCCCCACTCTCATTCTCAAGCATTCAGACCAAATTATTTTGGCTACCCCCAATTAATCCTCGAAATAATAATAGAGTTATCGAAAAAAAACACCAAATTCAAAATTAATTGAAAAAATAATTGGATAGCCAACCGTCCACCTGGATTAATTTCTTTAAGGTAGTGGTCATATATAAAAAAAACTGAACCCATTATTTGTGGGCATGGTGCCCCAACTTGCTGTGCATGTGTTATACATCTTGGTCTGAATGTACTCAAAGGCATATGCGGGTTCTGACTCTATGGCTCTCCAACCCCGTTGGGAAATTTCCGAATATTCAAGAATTCTCTTGTATTTGAGCGAAGTATGAGCACAGCCATTGTCTGATGCTGATAAAAGCCAAGGAATAGGCACGCAGCATCAATGATTCAAACCACCCAGCACTGACAAGCTGGGAGTGAGACTGCGGTCCAGCAAAAGAAATCCAACAAGTTGTCCTACAAATGCTATTCGCCGCTACTCCGTATGAAGAGAATTTACAGGGACATCCCATATGTTTCACAGGAAAAACCTACGCTTTCCCTCAAAATCCGAGGAAGTTCATCAACATCCATGGATGCAGCAACCAGGATTGAAAACAAACCAGTCTCGCGATCACCTTTGGAATTCAAAATTTAAACTCACGTAACAAATTTTGTCATATCCATCATTGATATCGTATGTATGCCGGAGAAATATCTTATACTATAAGATCATACTATATGATTATATAATTCATATATATATATATATTCATATACTATATGATTATATACTGTATGTTATGCAATATATAACCATTGTCCATGGCAAAATCTTGGTTTCAAGCCATCTGAACAACATGATTTATATAGGTCCTTGGGGATCATCCATGGACTTTTCACCAGCCACCAGTATGCCACCAGTTACCCTCTGGTAGGAACATGGCCTATAGAAATAGTTGATTTAGCATGATTTAGCCATTTAAAAAAAAAAAAAACTGCAATTCCATAGCTATATATATATATATACGTAGCTATGTTAGTTTACCAGAGGGTTTTTTTCGTCATATCCACAACAAATGACACAGAAACCCCCTTTCTGATTCCCGGCCGGAAGTTCACCTTAAATCTGCGAGTTTCTGTCCTGGCAAAGCCTCGGAAGATGTTTGGGATGTCAATGGGAGATCTTCAGGATCCTAAAATGGAGGTACTAAACGTACCATATGTTTGGCCATGTTTTGGGGGTATATCCCCTTAGGCCTGAACAATAGGCCTTATATATGGTAGGTACCTCCAATTTAGGTTCCTGAAATGGCCATTGATTAGTGGGTTTTAATGGAATTTAATGGATTTTAATGGGTTTTAATGGGATCTTTAACAATAATAAACCAAACAGTTAATGGGTTGTAATATGGGAAAAAAACAATGTCATACATCACCCATGACTGGGAATGGTTATATGATCTATATATCTATGGTGATGACTGGGGGATGGTTTATCATTGTTTTACCCACATTTACTATTACAACTTATCCAGATGTAATGATGTAATGGGATATAATAGGATGTTAACGGGGTGTTGGCCGGATATAATGAGACTAGTTCTTATATGCCCAAAATACTACCTGAGAAACTATTTAACTCCCTAAATCAAACTCCCAAATACTTTCTCAGAAGGTAGGGCTAAATCCTTAGGGAAACTTAAACATCTTGACTTTGCAATCTGTTAAGGGTTGGATTGGGTATGATTGGATTTATTAAGCTTAGACAAAACATGGATTTTGTTCCATCATCTTCGCCTTGCGATTCTGAAATCGATGAATCGGCTGGATGGGATATGATTGGACTCATGGGACCTGGATGAGAACTGGATCTTGGATCGTCTTGGATCGTCTTGAAGTCATGCCGTAGATTTTGGAATCCAAGAAAATCTTGCTGTAAATTATTGGCTGACGTGTATATTCACAAAATCTGCGGCCATTGCAGTGACGTCACAACGTGAGGTGAATGTAATGCATCGAGATCAAATCGCTATATAAATCATTATAAATTACATTCCCACGATATCCCCTGTGAACATCCCATTGTAAAAAAACAATACTTATGATTGATTAAATCCCACCATTTTGTTGTTCAACTTCACATGAATTCTTGGTTAAACCATGTTAAATCCCATTGTTAGTGGTGTTCAATTGAAAGCCGCGCAGCTGTTGCACATCCTGGCTCAGGATGAGGATTTTGGACTGGGAACTTTGGGAAAATGGGCCAAGTAAAGAACTTCAACCAAAAAAAACCTGAGGAAAATCTTCAGAACAAAACTGGCTAACTGATGTCCAACATTTCATGATTTTTTTCCAGCTAGCGCATCCCAATGCTTAATGGCTTTGCTTGTTGATCCCCTTGGTGCAGCTGCCCAGGACCCAGACCCCGAGGGCCTGTCCAATGCTCAAAATCTCGAAGGATGGCACCTCGAAGACCACCGTGTTGCTGGCACCATCCAACGGCGCAGCGCGAGGGGAACCAACGTCGCGGGGGGTCGTAGTAAAGGTAAACGTGTCCTGAGTTCGGGAAGAAAAATAGAGAAAACCAAGCAAAAAATACGCCAACATGATGAAATCCAGCATTTTTCCTTTCAATTTGCACTAATAATGCTTTAAAAAGTCAAGAATCGAGTCTGAAGTGGAATTTAGTTGGTTAGCCAAATGTTTTATAAATAGTTACTTAGGATGATTTCTCCTAATACGTGCCTATGATTTTTCTAACCATCCATTTATCCTGTTTTTTATTTTTTCGTCCATTGACCATCGGATCTTTCTATCCTTGCTGCTCTCTCCAGAAACTTATTCTAGTTCCTCCTGCCAAATCACATCTTACAACATCTTACTGCCTATAACATCCTATAACTATAGGATGTCTAACTGGTTGGTGGTTTTAACCATCTTGAAAAATACCAGTAGTACCGCACAAGGCGGTGGCGGAAGTTTCAAAAATAGAAAACCATAGAAAACCTATAGGAGAGTTTGGTTGTTGTGAATCAGGGATGGCAGAGCGAAGCCACTGATGGACCGAAAGGTGCTTGAGGTCTCCTGTCTTTCTCTTTCTTTCTCTGACTATCTACCTACCTACCTACGTATCTATCTATCTATTTATCTATCTATCTATTTATCTATCTATCCATCTATCTATCTATCTATCTACTATCTGTCCATCTATCTATCTATCTATCTATCAATCTATCTATCTATCTCTCTCTCTCTTTCATCTAATTACCTATCTATCTATATATCGATCGATCTATCTATCGATCGATCTATCTATCTATCTCTCTCTCTCTCTCTTTCATCTGTCTATCTGTCTATCTGTCTAGCTGTCTACCTGTCTATCTATCTATCTATCTATCTGTCTATCTGTCTATCTGCGGTGCAGTGTCATTCAGTGTAATGTAGTGTAGTGTGATGTAGTGTAGTGGAGTGTACTGGAATGTAGTGCAGTGTAGTGTAATGTAGTGTAGCGTAATTTAGTGTAATTTAGTGTAGTGGAGTGTAGTGGAGTGTAGTTGTGTAGTTGTAGTTGTAGTGTAGTGGAGTGTAGTGTAGTGTTATGTAGTGAAGTGTAGCGGAAGGTAGTGTAATGTATTGTAGTGTAATGTAGTGTAGTGTAGTGGAGTGTAGTGTAATGTAGTGTAGTGTGGTGTAATTTAGTGTAGTGGAGTGTAGTTGTGTAGTTGTAGTTGTAGTGTTGTGGAGTGTAGCGTAGTGTAATGTAGTGAAGTGTAGTGGGAGTAGTGTAGCGTAGTGTAATGTAGTGTAGTGTAGTGGAGTGTAGTGTAGTGTAATGTAGTGTAGTGTAATTGATGGTAATTGAGTGCAGTGTAGTGTAGTGGAGTGTAGTGTAGTGGAATGTAGTGAAGGTGTACTTGTAGTTGTTGCGTAGTGTTGTGTATTGGAGTGTAGTGTGGTGTAGTGGTGGTTGTAGTTGAAAATGCACGAAACCCTCACGTTTTGCTCACTTTTGAAGAGGTGCACGATCCCTTGCGCCTGCCTCGCGAAACGACATCTGAACCTCCAAAAGTGGTCCGAACCCCTGGTGTTTTTAACATTTTGACTTCGAAATGTGCTTCGCGCCACAACGGCGTACACTTTTTCGACATCGCAACTTCCAAAAGTGGTCCTAAACTGATGTGTTTTGAACATTTTGACTTGGAAATGAGCTTCGCGCCACAACGGCGTGCACTTTTTCGACATCTCAAGTGCCAAAAGTGGTCCGCACCACTAGTGTTTTTAACATTTTGACTTGGAAATGTGCTTCGCGCCACAACGGCGTGCAATTTTTCATCTCTCATCTGGCCAGCTGGCTCCGCACCCGCCGCGTTAGCGAGTCTACTTTTCGACCCTCCGGAGCCACAAATCAGTGGAAAAACAAAGTGTTTCGCGACTTTCCTACCTTTTCTTGCATCTGCATCTTCTTTCTTCTGACTCTTTCTCTTCTACTCTTCTCTCTTCTAATCTTTCTCTTCTCTCTGCCTCTTCCCTGCTCTGCTTTTCATCTGTCCATATTGTCGAAAGTTTGACTTCTAAACTTCCTTCGATTAGTCAATGGGAAGGATTATCCCATATCTTATGGAAAATAAAAAATGTTTGAAACCACCAACCAGATAGGGTTGTAAGTTGTAACCCACTGCAACTGGCTACAACCCCACGTAACAATCCCACGTGTCATACACCCCACGGTTGCCCGATAAGCCCGGCATCGTTGGGCAACGGAGCCAAGGAGTCCACGTAACAATCCTTCCATTCTGCGAGATTTTGTTGGGGTTCCATGTGACATTTGGGGTAGAATTATATATATACATATGTAATAACAATGCAAAAAATATACTTAACTATACATTACATATACTGAAAAAAACATCTATTTATTTTATATAACTGCGTAATTTTGTTGGATTTTTACTGTTCGCGCTTTTAAGGTATGTAAATGTAGGTAGTTTATGGTTGTTTTGTTTTTCTAGTATTTTCTTGTTATCAAAACATGGAAAGGGAAATCTTTTGGCCATGAATGGTGAGCTGTTGATGCACATTGATACACATTGTCCATGTGATTTTCCAAGGCCAAGTTTGATTGCCAAAGGGTTGTACTGGTTGATGGTTTCAATCCCGAGAACAACTGCTATTCAAACATTGGAAGCATCACTCATGATCCCACTATCACTTGGATGGGAACAGAATCACTATAAAACATGTTCCCTCCAACCCGGACGTTGCTCCACACCTCAAGAGAATCATCATCATCATCATCACCATCAAAGGACCTAAGTGGACCTGAGTGGTTATGCGTACTTTTTGTGGAGCATGGTTGATGTTGGTATCTCCCCGGAGTCCTGGATCTCGCGGATGCCGATCAAGAAACGCCGCTCATTGGAGAGATTCTGAAACCTGGGCGACCCATAGAGCATGGCCTGGTCAAAATGGGTGCCCCAGGCCCCGACCAAAAAAACAGTTGAATCAATTGAACCCCTCACAAAGGAAAAACACCAAAGTATATCCCAAGATAAATTATATATGTATGTATGTATGTATGTATGTATGTATGTATGTATGTATGTATGTATGTATTGTATGTATGGTATGTATGTATGTTATGTATGTATGTATGTATGTATGTATGTATGTATATATACGTATACATAATCTGCATATAAGAGAAAATGTTGTCTTGTGTGCTCGGGGATCTTGACTGTTTGGCTTACATATACCCATCTGTTACGCAAATCGAAGGAACCGCGCATGTAAGAGCTCCACCTTCACGCGGTTCTGGTCCGCATCGAGCATGTCCACCTCAATCCCATAAAGAGGTGCCCCAGTGATGTGAATGTTGCTTTGTAAACCCCCCATTGACTGTCATTACCTATATGTACATATACATACATTACATTGCATTGCATTGCATTGCATTACATGCATACAATACATACAGTATATTGCATGCAATAGATACATTACCTACAATACATACCATACCATACATTACCATACATTGCCATACATTACCATACATTGCCATACATTACCATACATTACCACACATTACCATACATTACCATACATTACCATACATTACCATACATTACCATACATTATACATTACCATACAATAGCATACAGTACCATACAGCATTGCCATACAGCATTACCATTCATGTCCATACTTTGCCATACATTACCATACACTGCCATATATTACCATACATACCATACATACACTACATTGCATAGCATTGCATTGCATAACATAACATAACATAACAACACATCACATGCATATACTACATACATATGTGTATATGCGTGTGTGTGTGTGTCATGATATATCTAGAATCTATATCATAAACATTCATAAACATCCTTAATCCATAGTTGACCTAGTAACCAACTTAGCTATGGGGCATCACCTAGCTATGTGCCCTCTCCGCCCCTAAGACCAAGCCACGTGCAGCGCCATGACCGCGGAGGACTTGCCGTCCGAGATGGAGCCCGCGATCTGCGTGCGCAGCCGGTCCTGATCCTCGTCATCAAAACCTGGGCGAAACAAAGTGGTGGGTTTTTTTCCATATGCCGAAACAAGGGGGCCATCTGAACCCCAACCCCCAGAAGAATTCGTTGAATGATGTTGAATGGATAGATTAAAATGGTGTCAAAGGGTTTTTCTGGTACATGGATGGAAGCACATGTAAGCAGATTGAAATCCTGGAAAAACGGAAGGAAGAATCCAGCCAAGAATGCCCCTTGATGTGCGACAAGAAGGGACAGTCCAGTCATATGGATATTCCCCCTGACGATCCAACATGGCAATGGAAATCTCCAACTTTTCTCCGTTTATTTCTGCTGACCGACGTTCACCTCTCCCTGAAATCTATACACCTCCAAACCCCCGACTCAACATGGAAGGCCGAAGAATTTCATCTTGTTGAGATGTTCTTGTCCAAATTCTTCTGCAGATTCTTCATACATCACTCAAGTCTGTTAATTTCTTCTATATGTAGGCTCCAAATGGCTCTAAAATGCGGAATGATTTATCACGCCAATCCCCGATCCCAATGTCCAAACAAGAGATCGGTGTTTCCCAAAAATTGGGGTCCCCCTTTCACCATTGAATGCCTGTTAAACTTGCTTGGATGATGATTTTTTGGATCCCTTGGAGGAAACCCAGGACACACCCCAAATGCGCCGTTGGCAACACTCAATTTCTTTTATCCAGACTGCACCCCCAAAATAACAATCCCAGAATCCAAGTTTCCCAACAATACATCATCTATTATAGGGGATCCGTTTGGCTCATTTTGGATTGGTTTCCCTTACTAGTCTTCCCTTCGCATGGAAAACATATGTTCATATGGAAAACATATGTTCATATGGAAAACATATGTTCATATGGGAAACATATGAATGCATAACATTTTTTGTAGAGCAACACTATTTGTTCTTTCCATTCGTGACACTTCAGCGCTTCATCCCAGAAAAAAACTCTAGCGCCTTAAACCTCCCAGGATTTCCACCGCCACACTGCGGCATCCAACGTTTGCCACTCAAAGCAACACTCCAAAAAGGACTTGCCGCACCATCTGCGCTGGGACCGCAGCAGCAGTGAACTCAACTGGGGCGACTCTGCAGTGAGGCAGAGCGTGTCGTCCACCTCCAAAACGGCGTCGTAGCAGACCAAGAGCAACGAGGACACGGCGCCCAGTCTGAGTGGGGAAAACCAGGGCGGGATTTCAGCCATTCTAAGCCCATGAACATGGTTAAAGATTCTAAAGGTTGTGTTTTATCCAAGAACATTGAAGGATATTGAAGGTATAAGCTCGAGAAACATCGGTATAATGCGGGTATAACAGTGGGTTAATCAAGACAACTATTTACCACGAAGAACCATGTTTATAAGGGTTTATGCTATCGGGTTAGTTAAATCTCCGTGATCATCACTGGAGTGGGGCATGAGAACAGAAGGGACCGGGGCTGTGGGTCAACATGGGATCTTACAGTGTGTTTTCACCACACCCTCTGCTTATGTAACATAGATATGGAAAATGGATGAAAATGGCACGTTTATAATATAGATGATTTATGATGCCTTATATAATTACTCCACAATGGTGACTTTCCAGTTCGCTACGTTGAATAACCAGAGGGCAATAGCATGGCCAATCTTAGACAATCCGCACAAAAGGCTGCTGATTGCAAATTGCCATTTACAGCCCCCCAAAGGTACCAGCAGCATCCGTCCAAGGTTGCCTCTGTTCTCAGGATGGCACAAGTCAACGTGGATATTTTCATTTTTATCTTCCTGACATGGTATGACAATTTATGGGTCATTGGATTCGCTTGGTACTTTGTTTTTTTCCTTGACTTCCCTGGTCTAAAACGAATGAACATATAGCAGCATCACTGTGAATCATTTCCTACGAATATGATGGTGATTCACCCGGAGCTATGAGGACCCGGTATGGACCAACACCCCATAGTCGTTTTTGGACCATAGAATGGGGGGTGTTGAATATAAACAGGCGGAACAGGGGATGCAGTAGATAAAATAAATTGAAATAATCCATTCATCAACGGTTCACCGACTTGGCAAGTTTGCAGGAAAACGGATTCCCCATGTGGAAAATATAGTTCCGGCATGATCCTTTTAAAAGCGAGTGGCTCAACGGTTTGCCTTTGTACGTGCAGCTTCAACTTGGTGTTGTAGAGAAAACACCTGCTGTTGGCCACGGTTCCAGCAAATTGAACTGTTAAATGCCTCATGTTCAATATCGTGTTTTTGTGGACTGTATACCTCTTTTTTTAAGAGACAACCGCATTTTGGATTCTCTGTGTTAACTCAAAATTTCTAAGCTTGGCATAAGTCTGATTTACCCAAAATATTTCTTCCAACAAATTCCATGAGCATCACCCTTTGGCTCCGTTAACCACTATCCCACCGCCAAAAAGTATGCTGAACATCCTGAAAAGGGAACGAGGTCGCCAAACATGTTCATACCAAGGGGTATACTTAGCAAATCACACAGTAGCGAAAACTGGGTACAAATGACCATCAGCTTGAAGCATCTACAGAGAACCTAGTTCTGCCAATGGATGATCATAACTTCCAAGAGGAACATTAAACATCCACCCTCTGGTCTCAAGTCTTCATTTTATGATGGAGACTTGAGGACAAAGGGCAAGGGACGAAAGCTAGTTGGGCAAGGAGAGGTGTGTATTGAGAGAATATGTGGCGCGACCTTTGAGTGTCATTTTTTGACTTGAAACAAGCTACGGTTTGATGTTGCTGACACGTTAGCAGCAGCGCATTATGATATTCTAGTTCGCATGCACCATAATCATTCCACAACCTTCCCCCTGACATCCAAGCATACCAGCGTCAACATTACGTTGCTAGCACTCTACTTGCCAAATACAAAATGCCCCAGCCGAACGCGCTTCAGTTGAGCCACTTTGCAATCATCTGATTGAACCTCTGTCCCTCGGCCTTTCCTTTCTTGTTCCTGTCCGTGGCATATTACAGTATATGTACATATGTCTATGATGAATATATTCAAATATCTCTAGTACTGTCTGTATGTATGTATGCATGCAGTTCCCGACAGATCACTTTAGTGATCTTTTTCGGGTCTAATACTAATGTGTGTGCGTGGGCATGCAAACGCGTGCTCACAAATTAAACCCAGCGGATCCCAGCAGGATGGACGCAGAGGGGTTTTGAGCCCGAGTGGGGGCGGCAGGGGGTGGGCGGGGTCACAGTTTGACATGGTTAATCATGCCGAACCGGGGGGGGGGGGCAAAACAAGACCGACATGAAAAATCCTGGCAGCCGCTTCCAGTCTGCCTCCAATTCATTGCTTAAGCAAATACAACCGAGCTAGCAAGCTAGCTTTCGTGTAAAAACTGAAGAATATCATACGTACCTAGACCCTCTAAGTACCCATTAAAAAGACTGGCAAAGGTACTAAATCATGGGGTCAAGGGTACCCATAAAGGTAAACGAACATAGCCTGGAGGGCCTCAAAAGAAGCTCAGCATCCCCTGGTCCCCTGGCCTGCGGGCAGCCGCGATGCCAACCTTGAGCACAAAATGGGGTCTGACAACGGGGACAAGCCAAGCTATGGATATGTTATGTGGGTAATTCAACAATAAAGCAACCTTTTTGGGGATTGTTTATACAACAATGGTGATTTTGGGGTTGGTTTATGGGGTTTACCAAATTAGGGACAATACATGCAAACTTCCAAGTCATGAATATTTCATATAGGGACACTTGTCATAAACTCTTGGCTTTTTTGGTGGTGTTTTGCTAAATTTTCAGACAAATATGGAACCCTGAACAGATGCAACATATCTCCTTTCTCGAATCGAATCATTTTCAACTGTTCTCTGGTTCTCCACAGGTTCCATCAAGAGTTCAATCAGGGAGCAGAGAGACATGGTTGAACTATCAAATTGATACAGTATGATATGGCAAACATATCTAAATATGGCAACTTAATGGGATATATACCCTCTGGTCCTGGTTATTCAACATAGCCATGAAAAATGGCCCATAGAAATAGATGGTTTACCATTCTTAAAAATCGGTGGATCTTTCCATGGCAAACTGTTAGTCATAACCAGATGGTATCTATAATGAGGAGATGGCGGGATTAAGTAAGACTTACGATCTGAAGTCTGATCGACTTACGACCACCAGGGACCAGGATGGACCAGGGACCAGGGATGCCTCCAAGAAGCCAGAATTTACATTGGGCCCATGGGTATTCATCTATGTCATTCTATATGCACGTCTGCTACAGAAATATGTCAACTAACTTGGATATCTGTTTCATATCACTTGGGATTTCTGAAACTTAAACCTGGGGGGTCAAAGGAATTTATCAACAAGTTGGGAATCCTCTTGCTATGCAACTATCTACACATGTCAAATGTGTAAAGGACGATAGCTACACATCTATCTACGGAACTCCTGGTGAATAGGACACATGGAATTCCATAGTTCCATAGTTCGCTCCCTAACTATAGATAGTAAATAGCATGGAGCTATTGTTACCCCATGATAATCGCATGAACTCCAATGACCCTCTGATAAACGTTTACATAGCGAACTGGAAAATCACCGTAAACCACCTATAAATGTGCCATTTTCAAGAGCTTTTTGTATGTTTACCAGAGGGTAAATCTACTAAAGATACCCATTACCCTCTGGTAATTTAACATAGCTATCGAAAATGACCAATTATAGTGGATTTTCCCATCAAAAATGGTGATTTTCCATAGCTATGTTAGTTTATCAGAGGGTATATCCCCATACCTGGTGAAGTTTCCCTCAAATTTCTCATCCCATTGCCATCCCTCGTTGCAGATCAGCTGATCTCCCCAGATTTCTGACGGTAACTTACGGTACCCTCTGGTAATGACTAACATAGCTATTGAACATGGCCATAGAAATAGTGGATTTACCCATTGAACATTGTGATTTTCCATGGTTATGTTAGTTTACCAGAGGGTACCGTATACTACTACGGATTACTATGGTAAACCCAAAGCCCTAAACCGTCCTATGAAAACCAACCATGACTGGGAGATACTGGGAGTCATGAAACACATGCAAAACACAATTGTCCCATTGCGAACGGGGTATATCCAATTTCATAAACGTCAAACTGGAGTATGCTGACTATGGCATTGGGTGAATCACATTAATTTATCCAAATGGTTAAGTTATGTTCCATTACATACTATTTTTCCAAAAAAATGCCAATTACAGTATATAATCAAATGCCATCATAACACCATCTTATATTATCCCAGTGACTAACGCATCTGACATCAAACATCCGCAGCGTTGTTCTTTTTTCCAAGGCACGCGATTTTACTATCATTCCCAAGGGAAACATATCCAATACCATCCCTAATGCATTACATATATAAATTTATCCAATACTATCCCCAAGAAATGATTTTCCAATACCATCCCAAGTGACTTCCTTTCAGAAACCTCCGCAGGAAAAAAAAACTGTCCAAGCTACAAACAACAGGATGTAGAGCACGACAACTCCAGCGGGTCCACCTTGGTCGAGCACATTCTGATCCTCACGAGCCAAGCGAATCGTGTAGAGCATGTGGAAACAGGTGCCTGAGGCATGCCGATTTCGGCAACCACAAGCGGCTCAAGCGTTAAACCATGATAAATGGTGAATGCTAATGCTATATATATATAATTAAGTGGAGACATAAAGGTATAATAAACCACTTTATGGTATATCATGGAAAATAGATCGTGACAAACTTACTTTCCCTATGATGTTTGTTGCGAAATCATGGCAAACGAGTCCAAATTGGCTTCGAAAAAACACACGTAAAAAAAAAAAAAATGTACAAATCCCAGGTAGTTGGTTGATACCCTCTGGTGAACTAACATAGCAATGGAAAATCACCATTTTTAATGGGAAAATCCACTATTTCAATGGCCATTTTCCATTGCTATGTTAGTTCACCAGAGGGTACTTGAACCATTTTGAACCGCAAACGAATCGAAGTCATTTTGAATCGGAGGTGCAAAGGACATAGCACCAGCTGCGCTTCGTCAGCGCGGCGAAAAAAATTTCCGATTTGAAACTGTAGGCCATGTAGACCATAACCTCCGTGGAGCATTGGACCATTTTGGACCCGTTGGTGCAGTCTTGAAACCCTAAGCCTGATGTTTTTACTTTGCAAAATTGAGATCTCTTCTGGTTGGTGGTTTCAACCCCTCTGAAAAATATTAGTCAATGGGAAGGATTATCCCATATATTATGGAAAACAAAACATGTTCCAAACCACCAACCAGTCTTGTAAATGTTCCCTTCATCCAATTTTGGCAACTGTGGCGAAGCTTGGGTATACATCTACCTGTCATGTCAAAGTTATTTAACACAGGGTGCGGATTTTTTTGGGGATTTTTTTTTCTTGTTTTGGGAATTTTATTTTTTTTTGGTCGTGGGCACGGTTTCCTCATTTTTTCCTTGTTTTCCATGATTTTTCCTTGGTTTTTCATTGGTTTTCCTTCATTTTTCCTCACGTTTTCCTCGTTTTCCAATATTTTTCTTTGGTTTTTCATCATTTTCCTCACTTTTTCATCGTTTTCCATTACTTTTTCCTTTGTTTTTCATCATTTTCCTCATTTTTTCATCGTTTTCCATTACTTTTTCCTTGTTTTCCATGACTTTTCCTTCGTTTTTCATTGGTTTTCCTTCATTTTTCCTCACTTTTTCATCGTTTTCCATTACTTTTCCTTAGTTTTTCATAATTTTCCTCACTTTTTCATCGTTGTCCATTACTTTTCCTTGGTTTTTCATCATTTTCCTCACTTTTTCCTCGTTTTCCATTATTTTTTCTTAGTTGTTCATTGGTTTTCCTTCACTCCCCTCACTTTTCCTCGTTTTCCATTACTTTTTCTTTGGTTTTTCATCATTTTCCTAACATTTTCTTTCCTTCCTCAATAAGAAAACAGGAAGGGGGTATGGGGGAGAGGGCTGAGAAAGAGCAGTAGCGTCCACTCAGAATCAGCTAAAGCGTCTTCCCAGGCAACCTTATATACAGATATATAGATATATAGTGGTATATAGATATGTATATATATATATAGAGATATATAGATATATATATATATATAGATATAGATATAGATATATAGATATATAGATATATAGATATATAGATATATAGATATATAGATATATGTGTATATATATATAGATATAGATATATAGATATGTATATATAGATATAGATATAGATATATAGAGATATATAGAAATATAAAGAAATATATAGAAATATATAGAAATATATAGATATATATATATATGGGGAAATAGATATATAGATAATTATATACATATATAGATATATAGATACAGCCATAGATGTAGATTTAGATACAGATATAGATAGATATAAATAGATATAGAGAGATATAGATAGATATAGATAGATATAGATAGATGTAGGTATACATGCATGACTAATCATGACTATATGCATATGTAGATCAATGTATTTACAAGTGTAATCAATATATCTGCCGGGTTTGGTTTTAGGGTTGGTTTTAAGGTTTCTTTAGGGCTGGTTTAGACTCTGTTTAGGGTTTGTTTAGGGTTGGATTAGGGGTTATTTAGGGATACAATATGTACATACAAATAACTATACTTATGTGGACGCATATGCATGCACATGCTTATTTACAGTTTATTTTGGGATACAACATGCACATACAAATAACTATTTTTTGTGGACGCATATGCATGCACATGATTATTTACAATTTATTGGGATGAAAGCTGTGTATATAAACAACCATATGTATATATATATACAATATATATATATATATATAGTCTAACCAAACTAGTGTATTGAAATGTGTGCAAGTTTGAATTTAAATAAAAAAAAGCGGGAGGGGGGGGATTGGGGGGAGGGCTGCAGAGGGGCCCTAGCGTCTACTTCAAGATCAGCTAAGGCGTCTTCCCCAATGACAGCACTTGTTTTACTCAGCCTGTTGCCGGTCCGTGCTTGTCTACAGGGTTACTCTATATACCTCTTTCTTGAGCCTTGAAGGCGCATATAAATGTGCTCAATACTCATGCATGTACCTATGTAGGTATTAGGTCGAAACAAAAACACAGGCACAAATTCAAAAGCAATGAGTAGAGCACTACGCCTTGCCGTACCCAATTGGTATTAAGAGTATCTTCCTGACTTCTCTACACAATGGCAAATAGCAAAAGAAACCGGAGTTACGCAGTGGCTTCGAATTGAAAAACACGTGAAAGCAGCGAATGTCCTAAGGACATGTCGAAAAAGAACAGCGGATTCGCTAATTTTTCCAGTAGTGACCAATGGTGCTTCGCGCACGGTCTCTCCATAGGCAAAATGCCTCGCTCTACCGGTGAAAGTTCGAATTGAAAAGTTCGGGTTCGCAAGATTCAGAAATTCAGGTCATACGAAAAACAATTGACCAAATCACGAAATAAACGGAAATAGCGGATCTCCAAAGTTGCTCATTCAAGCAAACAATGGACTGAAATCGAAGTTGGTAATTTTTGAAGTTCGCTCCATTCGGAGTGGTCTGCTCGCCGGATGATTCATGGAGATAAATGTATATAGTATCTCTATTTACAAGAGTCTCTATTTTACATTAAATTGAAGTTCAGACACTTGTGGCATTATCTCTATCTAAAAGAGTATATGCCATCTGTGTGAAATAAGTTGAACGCACAGAAAAACTGTACACGGCTTCTCATGCTGTGTTATCTTCAATTAAAGAAGTGTACACTCACTCATCGCCACTCACTTGATCTCCATGGTCTGGACGCTGAAGATGAGGATCCACCCCACTCTGTGTTGCCCTGATACGTCGATGCTTGATCTTCATATGCCTTTCTCTTTTTCTCCTTCTGTCTTTCCTTTCTTGAATCAGCATACTGCTTCTTCTTGTAGGCCTGTTTGTAATGATGTCGTTCATTCCATGACATATCAGAAGGATCAAGATGGATAAGAATTGGATTATGAGCATCGCGATCATTTGGAGCAACCATGAAGATGTTGTGATCACCATGTAAGCAAGTTTCATTTACCTTGAAGTAAAATTCACCCACATAGTTCATGTGATCTTCATCCTCAAAGTCTTCTGGGTGTTCCTCACACATCAAACGTGAATGACCCCACTCAACAACTGTTAACATACAACAATCACCTTTACCATTTGTCTTGTTCATGAGCTCGTCGGTGTATGTTGCTGTTGTAATGCCATCCAAGTGCGTTGCAAGAAAATCCAAGTCACGATAACTGCAAGAAATAAAATGCTTGACCCTGATTGGAGGGCAAGTTGGATCAAAATTCTTGCGCATGGCTTGTGTTGCAACACCTACCATTCTGTTAATCCAGAATTGGATAAGGCTGTGTTGATATGTAGGGACACCTGGAGATTTTGGTGTGCTGTAATAGCATGCCTTGTTTCCATCACCTGCGATGAAGTCAACTTGATATCTGGCACACTCAAAAGCCATAACAGCTAAGCATTCACCAACAATCCCAGCAGAGTCTGATGCATACTTCTGTCCGACGTGATAAACGCACACACGTGTCATTCTCATCCTAGCTCTTGTCAAGTCAACAATCTCATCTGTATCTCGATCCTTTGTCTTTCCCCAAGATACTTCAAAGATTGCCCATGAGACTTGTCGAACTCGTGTGTCGTTGTCATCTGTGTGATATCCAGCAATTTGCTTGATATAGCCATCCTTTCCAAGGCGAGCGGCCACCATCAAGTCATGATAGTCATTGAAGCAAGTTTTGAAGTCAACCTCGTTGAGTCTTTCTCTGTGAGGATACAACGAACCAGCCTCGCAATTCATGAAAAGATGTCCTCCAAAGTTCTTGATGACATTGATGAAGTAATTGTTGAACTGTGATTTGGTTTCATCAAATTTTTCATGATCCTCATCGATAGTGTAGTCAATGTGTGGAATGAATTGTTGAAATCTTTCTGGAACCGGGCATTTTTCAAATCTGTTTCTGCACCAGTTTCCCAAATTCCAAAACATTGCTGTTATCTGTGGAGAGGATCTGTATGGAAATTCAGCATCCTTGTACGTTGGGTCTGATAGGCCTCCACCTAAATACCTGTAAGCCAAGCTATGCAAGATCATACAGTAAGGCAAGACCTTGTGTTCCTCAACGTAATCTTGGAGTACCCTTGTGAGATTTCCAAAATCGTCATCAATCCTCTGTTCTGCTTCTTTTGAGGATCTTTCTGCTTTGTCTTGATGAAGAGGATGCATCCTTGGATCACTACAACCATATTCAATGCGCTGATTAAGTTCTTGTAATTCTAGTTGTGGATCCTGATTCTTGTGTCTGGCAATGTACTCAACCATCAACTGGTCATCTGTAAGATGGTACCAAAAATCATGATGTGGAGACATGGTCTTCCTGTACTTAACATGCCAAAACATATGTCGATGCTTCGAAGACGCTGGATAACCTTTGTTGTAAAATCCTGCCCATTCACCATGGTAACCATCTGAAAAACAATCCTTCAATTTTCGAAAAACTGAATCATCTTCGTTTCCAGTGATATCTTGACCATAGTAAAGTCGAATTGCAGGTTTCACTTCAGGAGCTGTCTCATCATCTTGAATGTCTGTTTTCTTCTCCCCTGATTCCTCCTTTTCTGAGGAGCGTTCAGGTGGAGCTGATTCCTCTTTCTCTGAAGAGCCTTCAGCTGGGACATGTGGCTCCTGTGTGTCTTTTTCTTCTTCTTTTTCTTCGACAGCAATCTCCTCATCTTCATCCTCTTCTTTCTCTTCTTCCTCTTGTCGTTCTTCTGGTTTGACAAAACTTTCCTTGATCTTTCGTTGAACATTCTGATTGCACATACTGATCCATTTCAATGTACACTCAACCAATTTGTCATCATCAGTTTCCAAAATGATATGTTTGTCCTCAATGTTCAAACTTTCAATGGTATGCTTGTACTCAGGATCACCTGCGCCTGGTCTTTGAAGATCTGGAAGTGGAGTGTCTGGATCATCGTCCACCATCTGAGGATCCTCTGCTCCAAAGAAATTTTCTGCGCCAAGGTGTTCATTGTCCTTG